AATAATAATTTACTGCCCTTGAGTGATTTGACGTAGTGTATTTCAGAAAAACATTCACGTACACAGATGTCAGTTTCAAACTGTATTCATTAGAAGCAGGGACTTTTGGTTCACCTGGTTTGTCTCTGGGTTTCTGGGTGCTGTCGCCCCACCATTCGTAACGCATCAAGTGCTCAGTGTTTGAAACCATCAGAGTAGGCGCACTGGTGAGGTTGCTGTTGCAAACAGAGCTCCAAAAGCGACTTGGGCTGCCTCTCTAGGGTAAGGGTGGGAAAAGTGAATTTTTAAAGATGGCTGGAGCACAAACTCATTCTGAACTACAATGCACATACCGTGTCTTTGCAGTTTATTAAGATTGGAATGGGGTAGGAATTTGCCTTTGCATGATCCAGGAAGAAAATAATTGTTAAACAAATTAAGAATGTGAATCATTCTATAAGAAATGGTCAAAAACATTTGGAGTTCATTAGACCCAGGTTTAAATCCTTGCCTCTTATTTATCAGCTATGACTTTGGGATAAATTACTTAACCACCGTTAGTCTTATTTTTTACATCTATGAAATGGGGCTGACAATTCCTATCTCAAGAGATTGTCTCAAGGTTTGTTTTTAGTGTAGTTAGTATTAGTAGGTAAGAAAGCAAACTATTTTTAAAAGAAATTTATAGAACATTATATGCTTAATGAGGACAAAAGTATAAATATTCATAGCTTTTCTTCCTTTCCCAGTCTCCAGAAGAGTTGATATTTGTGCTGCCAAACTGGGAGTTGGGGAGGGGTGGGGGCTGAGCCAGGGAAGCAATGATGCAGCTGTGAGGTGAAATCTAGTGGTCACATTAATTTACAAAATGATAGACTCTCTATGAAAGGAAAAAAAATACTAAAGAATATGCAAGTCTGGAAGATTGAGAGAGAAGGGTGCTGGAAGTTTTGGAGGGTAGACAGAAGGAGAGAAGGGGGAGTGGCTGCAGTGTGACAATTAGGGGAACCAGGTAGGTTAAGAAACTTTTGGAAAGTGTTGTGTGGGAAAGTCTCCAGTAGCCAGTTTTTTGAAAGTCTTCTTAAGTAGCTATCCCACAGGGAGGCAAGAATAGCAGAGTGGTTAAGGGCCTAAATTCTGGACCTGGAGTTCTGGGTTTAAATCTACAACGCTGTGGCTGGATAACCATGTGCAGCTGTTTCTCTCCTCTAAGCTAAAGTTCATTCCTGTGAAATGGGCACCCTAACCAGACCATCCACAAGATTATCCTGAGGACCAGGTGAAAGGGTCTCCTGAGGATCTGATGGTTTAATGTTCAGTGCTTGTCAGGTATATAAATATATTGATAAATGTCAACTTAGTGGTGTCACTTTTAACAGGTACAATAATAGTTTCCATTTATTGAATGTTTACTATGGACCAGGCACTCTTCTGCGTACTTTATGAGGATTAATTCATTTAATCCTCAAGACAACTCTACAAGGTAGGAATTATTATTCTCCCCATTTCACACATGATAAAACTGAGGTACAGATGACTCAAGTAACTTGAGGTGAGTGGTAGAGCTTGGGGAGCCTCAAATACTGTGATGCTAGATCCATACTCTCATCCTCTGGATCATTCTGCATCTCACATATGAGTCTGATCTTAAGATAACTTTGGGGCCTTATTTTATAGGTGCTTGGTTTGCACTCAACAAACTGGCAACTCAAAATGTGGTCTACAGGCTGCCCAGGAACAGAATCGCAGGCCCGCCCCAGACTCTGTATCCCAGGAAACAGGAACTGCATTTTAACAGGCTCCCCAGGTGATTCGTGATCATGTTAAAGTCTGAGAAGCAGCGCTCCAGGATTAGGACCTTCAGGCGGATGAACTGTCCATTCACATCTCCATCCTTTACAGTGTCTAGCACAGCCCTTGCTACGCAAGAGATTGACTCTTGATCCAAAAGTAGATCAAGGAATGTTAAATATGAAATAAACTGACAAGTCCTGGTTGAGGAACAACTGGTTTATCTTCGCCTGATGGAGTGGGATGCTCAGGCCTCCAGCCTCCGGCACAGCACCAGGCACATACCAGATGCCTCGTGCATATTTCTCAAATCAAGACAGAAATGTTGTGTGATAGAGACATCCAGCATACCAGCCTTCCCTGGATGTGCTCCGACATTTAAAAAGGCCAAGTAATGCCAGAGCAAGCGGAACAGTGATTACGCACTTATTCTTAACACAGTTCTAAGACAAGCTCTGCTCAGTTGGTTCCCCTGTGAACTCAAGCTACTTCTCCTCCCTCTAGAGCTCTCTATTGTCTTGGCTTTGTTTGCAACTCATTCAGAAACTAATTAAGTTTCAGGATCAGTTTGTCCTGTTAAGAGAGAGCGGATCTGCTGAAGTGGTGGCTTTTTTATAACTTAAATTATCTGAGTATAAAGACAATTATAATTTGCTTCTAAAATTGGCCAAAAGTCAGTTTTCATCAAAATGATTCTCAGCAGACATTAGTTTCTGTAAAACCAGGATATTTTATGAAAGGCAACGAAGAGGATTTAAATAGGCCATGGAAAATGTATTGATAATCTGGCCATATTTTAATCCTGTTCTCTAACAGAGTGTGAAATTACTTGTTTACTTCACTTATCTGGGGCTGGAGGTAGCTCGTCACTCGTTGACAGAGCCATATTTTGTGATCACCTTTCAGCAGTGAGCTCCTGCCAGGCCAAAGCCAAACAGTTTGACTTCACTGGCCTATGTACTACCTCCAAAGTCAAGGTCAGGACTGCTGTTACCTCTCCCAGCCAGAGGAACTCATGAACTCCAGAGTATCTGGTCAGGGCTTTCACTTGTGCATGGACAGGTAGGTAAGCCAGGAGTAATTGTAAAAAGTTGGGAGTTTTATTTCCAGTATCCTCACGTTTCTTTTCTGTACCACATCCCCCCAGAAGTGAGGATTATGTTGGTTTCATCATCAGCCTGCAGAATTATCAAGTTGAACAATATTGAGGATGCAATAAAGTATAGGAAGTAGTCCCTGACCTAAAGGACCTCATATATATACACACATAATCAGAGACTAACACTGTGATGAAACAGACCATGTTGATATTCTGCCCAGATTCCCTTTATCAAGTTCGTGCATTAATCCCCTAATGGCTGTGAGTGTTAACTGCTAACGAATGGCTCAGAGCTGCCCCTTTCTGGAGAACTGACTGATTGTTCTCAGCCAGTGGAGGGAGGCACCAAACCTGTGAGGTTCTGCCTCCCTGGCACAACTGATTGACATGGGGCTATAAGAAACTGGACCCCTTTCCTTAAGGTGGGACTAACCCATGGTACAACTCATGCCCCAGAGCCTCCCTTGGAACCATGCTGAAGCTAGACTCCTGCTGAGACCACCTCCTTACTTCCTTTCTATCCTCCGTTCAATTAGTCGAGTGCCTCTGGATCTTGTTCTAGAATGCTCAACTTAAAACTTGCAGGGAGCTATTACTGCCTATAAGCCTGAAGGAGCAAAAGGAGGAAACTATTCCCAAAGTGCAGCGAGAGCGAGAACCTCGGAGAGAGGGTGGCCTGACAGGACCTGGGCCATGTAGGGACTTGGCCACTGATAAAAATCAGGGTAGGAATTGGGAAGAAATATGTTGTCTCTCTCCTCCCTTCTCTGGGTCTGCATCCCTTTAGTCAAAGGGATGACTTAGCCCATGGAAGCTGCTATAACAAAATAGCAGACTGAGTGGCTTTATAAACAATAGAAATGTACTGCTTCCAGTTCTGGAGGCTAGAAGTTCAAGATCAGAGAGTGCCAGCATGGTCGGCGAGGTTCCTCTTCTGGGACATGGACTTCTCATTGTATCCTCACACGGTGGAAGGGCCCAAGGAGCTCTGTGGGTCTCTTATCAGAGCTCTAATCCCATTCATGAGGGTTCTAGCCTTATCACCTGATCACCTCCCAAAGACTCTTCCTCCTAATACTACCACCTTCAGGGGTTAGGATTTGAGGGGACACAAATATTCAGACCACAGCAACAGGAAGCTAGCCAACAATGAGCTGGCAGTCAATAGAGGGATTATCCTGACTTTATAGATGACAAGATTCCACTCTAGGGGACTAATGCCTTATGAGGTTGGGGAAGCCATTGCGGGTTTTCCTGAGGAATCTCCAGGGAAACAGAATTCCATGAGAAGGATATTGAATTTTGCTCCTGAGAGAATCTTTCAGTGTCCTCATAGGCCCCATCATCCTTAGAGAAGGAGGAACTTGCTGGTGGCCACTGGGGGATCCCTGTAGCCTTGGCCCTCCTGATGCCAAGCGTTGTTGAAAGGTTATCAGGTGGAGGTAGGGAGGGGACCTGCCGGAGCTTAGGTGTGGCTGCTGTTTCTGTGAGTCCAGAATCAGAGGCTCTGTGCTTTTTATCTCATACAGTCATTCCCTTGCTTTCCCCCTTTTGATTCTGAATCTTGATGGTGCAGGTCAGAGCTGGAAGGGAAAGGTGAGAATGGGCTTGGGCACCTGGGGCAGGAGATCAGCTTCTGGGCCTCTGTCTTGGAGCTGAAGGCATCTTGAGAAGGTGGCCCAGGGTTTAGGGAAGGGAAACTTGGACTGTTTCTTCAGGCAGGGCAACATTTATCTCTGTGCCATCACATAGAAGGAAAAGTTGGAAATCTGCAAAATTGCACACAGTCTTAATATAGAACTGGATTACAGTTTCAGGATCCGTTTGCACTAATTCATTAATGTGATTTCTCAGACTAAAATTTTTACCATGCAAAGGTATGCAAATCGTTTTGGAAAATAATGTTCTTAGCCAAGTGCACCAACACCTGTTGAGGTTATTTTTGTTTCTGATTTTTGTTTGTTTACTTCCCTGGAGCTGTGCCATTGGGGTGGGATGCGGAAGAGTAAATACAGTCACTATTTGAAACTGTGCTGAACGATTTCCTACCCGTGACTGAGAGGTTTCCTCCTTTGATGGATGTTCCGCTGACTGGCATGTCTCTTTCTCTCCCTTTCTTGCCCCAAAACAGGATGAAGAAAATGAGCAACATCTACGAGTCTGCGGCCAACACGCTGGGGATCTTCAGCAGCCCCTGCCTGACCAAGGTTGAGCTGCGCGTGGCCTGTAAGGGCATTTCCGACAGAGACGCCCTTTCCAAACCGGACCCCTGTGTCATCCTCAAGATGCAGTCCCATGGGCAGTGGTTCGAGGTAGGCATGTCCGAGCAAACGGACGCAAGTGTGGCTGGAGAACTGGTTCGAAAAGAGTTTGGCCTTTCCCGTTTTTCGGTGTTTTAGTTTGATGAGATGAAAAATTCTAGAGCTGACTATGATCACGGTTCTGCTGGCACCGTGAGGGGTTTGATGTGGCTGTTTTGCTGCTGTGGATGTTTTCACATTTCTCCTTCTTTTGTGTGCTCCTTATGGACAGAGTGGCCCCCGAGGAAGGGCAGGGAGGGCTGCCCTGTGGGGGCCACATCGCACAGCATTAATTTTTGGGGGAGAACCTAATACTAGCTAAACTTGATTGGGCACCTGTTAAATGTCAGGCACTGTTCTAAGAGCTCCATGTAAAAACAGCTAATTTAGTCTTCCGATGAGGAAACAGAGGCAGATTGGTTAAGGATTTGCCCAAGATCGTTCAGCTTGTAAGTGGAAAATCTAATACATGCACCCAGGTGGTGGAGCTCCAGGCCCTGGGCTTCGTTGCTATTTTATAATAATGGTGGGCGCCTGGCAGTCTTCGGAGGCTTGTGTGGGAATGTTGCTGGTTGGATTCTGCAGTTAGACTTAGTTTATTTAAAAGTTGAAACAAATCGGGTGAGGACTTGCTTTAAGTTGTTGTTGTTTTTTGTTTTTCTTTTTCATTTCTAGGTACCTGGCCTAAATAAGCTTTGCTTTTAAATATTTGGTCTGAGGTGAATGTGGAGCTAGGAAGGGGCAGGGGGTGCAGCTGTGTAAGCAGCTACTATCCTCTTTAAGGGAACCAGAGACTTGGTGGAATTTGGATATAGGTCTGAGCCATGCCAGTCAAGAAAGTGGAGACAATTCCTTGCTCTGGATCCCTGAGGACAAATGCTTTAGGGCTTCAACACTTCTCCCACCTGTGCGCAAATAGTTGGAAGGTGCTCCTCTAGGGGGCAAAGTCTTCCACTTGACAGTAGACAGAAGGTCCTAGAGGCAGCACATTTGCTTATTAGTACACATGTGATAAAAGCCGCTCCTGAAAGGGAGGTGTGAGGGTGAGCAGATGTTATTGAGGTGAGTAGGAGCCGTGCATGGGGGAGTGGATGACAGATTGGCAGGTCGGTGATCTTAATTTAACTTCAGGCTTATCCAGGGCTTATACTGTAAACTAAAACAGTGTTCACAGGTATCTTAATGTGTAATATATATGTGTGTGTGTGTATATATATATATATACACACACACACATATATACATACATATTTTTTTCCTTCTAAATATCCTCATTGACTTTGTCAGTGGGTTTCTCTGTTGTTTTTTTTAAATTAACAAAACTAAGTGGAGTTTTTATATTAGAAAAAGGTCCCTCTGAAAATTAGAGAAAAAGTTCATCTCCTAATACCCTCTTTGCATAATTCAGTGATTATTTGTTCATATTTCCTTTCAGTCTTATCATGCATGTGAAATTTTCTTTCCTGATTATTACCTAGTAGGATATGTTTTTCCCATAGTGCTGTAATATTCATAGTTATAATTTTCAAGGCTGTATAATAGCCCATCAAATGGATTTAATTAATCATTTTTCTATTTTTTCACTTTGAAGTTGCTTCCCAAAATACCCTATTTTAAGTAATGCTGCTGTGAACATCTTTTCGCATGCAGCTCTCCCCCTCTTTAGGGATGAGTTCCTGGGACAGTTTCTGCCAGAGTGGAGCCAGTGGGACAAAGGACAGGACACTTGTGGGCCTTTGGATACATGTTGGCAAATTGCTTTTCCAAAGTGCTCTATTACAGTGTCACTCAAAGTGCAGACTCCACACAGACAGTTCCTTGTCCACAGACACTTTGTTACCAAGGGGCAATGAGATAAGAGACTTGTGCAGCAACGTATATTGCTTTGCTTCTTCCTTCACCTAAAAAGTCTTAACTCTTTAAAAACAGTAACGTCAGCTGAACTTCCTACATGCTTAGTGGTGTGGCTGATTTTTATTCCGGTGCTTTGAGAAGCTCTTCTCTGACACATTTTACACTCTTAGCAATATACCTTCAGGATACAGTTGGGAAAAATGCACTCGTGCCAGGCAGCTAATAAGATTTAGTTCAGGTAACTAACCACTAACAAAGGATTTGGAAATGCAGAGAAACTAAGAGAGACTGTGAGGGAACCAAGAGATAAACGAGGAATCTGTTCCTTTACTTAGGGTGAGTAGTAGTGTGCTGGAAATCAGCTTGTGTAGGCTTGTAAGTGTCTGGCTATTAAATATTCAGGAATTTTCCAAGCCTGAGTGTATTTACACCGCAGACATTGGCAAACATTGCAAATCAGGGCTTCTTCTTCCCTTCCCCCCTCCTCCTTCCAGAGCCAGTTGTTAAGCATTTACCAGCACACCGCTGGGTGTGAGGGACAAAGGAGGAATCAAGCGGCTGGACCACCAGCAGAAGCTGGATGCATGGAAGGAGGGCCTCCTTATTGGGAACCCGAAAGGCAGAGGAGATGCAGATGGTGCTGGAAATGCTGCCTGAAAGGGAGATGCGGCTACCTGGGCATCCCCCTCTGTCGCTCTCTGGTCTCCTATCTGTGCCTTCCACTGATCAAACCTTGACGGAAGCCAGTGGGCAAGGTTTGCAGGCAGAGAATGTAAATGAGAGCAAAGAGGTAAACGACTAGCCCATAAACGCCCTGACAACTCACAGTAACTTGGAGAATCATTCACCCTCTCTCACCATTAGTGTGAACACCTACTCTTCAGTGCAAATTCAGCCAGTGGTCCTGTGCTACAAGTTAGGAGGAACTGACAGTCTATTTAAACCATGTAGCTATTACTATCTGTGTTTGGTGAGGGCTAGCAAACATGGACAGTGCTCTCTCTGGGGCAAGATTTAGTGATAGGTGAGTTTTCCTGTATCTGGCCCCTAGAACATGTCTGGATTTACAGAGCGATTTTTATGTAGAGACTTCCAGAATTGAGAGAAAGCCCTGCAGAAGAGAATTCATGCTGGCTGGGTCACTTCCTTGAGGGGAATCTGGTAGTTGACTGAGTGAAGAAAAGCATAGAGGCCAAACTGATTTGCATAATGAAGAGATTGGGGGGGGAGGTGTCAGGGAGGGAGAGAAAAAAAAGGGAGAGCTTATCTTTTATATAGAATTTTAAAGTCTGGAAAAAGAAGCTCTCCCTGGATGAGCACTGTCCCTGCAATGATGGGAATGTCTCTCTGTGCCACATGTGAGCACTTGGAAGGTGGATTATGTAAAAACTGACATTTTTAACTATTTAGTTTTAATTAATTTAAGAGTAAGTGTAAATAGCTTACACAGTTCCAGAGGTCTTTGGTGTTCTGGAGAATTTAGCTGGGTTGGGTGGAAGAGGAAAGGGAGTTTGTAAAAATGTAACTGAGGGCTATTAATTTTACAGCTCCAGTGTTTTTCTGGGGAGCTGTAACTAAAGATTGACATTTCCTTTTTATTACTTGTGATTGCTGGCCTGTGCTTTTTGTAATGGAATTCCAGCAGGGAAAGGACCCTGCTATGCCCTGGTTTACAGCCGGGGCTACTGCTGCTGTCGTTAGAGCCACCTTCAGATGGTGCTTCCTATATGGAGGGGAGCGGTTTGCTCTTTTAATTGGCTGTAACTTGTTAACAATGGAAGAGAACATTCGACCCCCTAAGAGGGATCATAAAAATGTTAGCCTGGTTTTTAGACTCAGAAAGACCTACAATCTGGTCTCCTGTGCTGCTAATAGTATTAAGAGCCAATGAGGATAAGTAGATATGTCTTTGAAGTATTGGAAATCAATTGATCTGAAATGCACATGGAATGTTGCTCTTTGTAGACCAGAAGGGTTTGGAGCATATGTCTGAGGACTGAGAAGACAGAGAGGACAGTTTTGGTTTTTTACCAGAATATGAAGATAGGATGGTGTTTTTTCATTGGGTGAACCCTTTAGTCAATCGCTCATGGCCATGATTGTAACTGTCAGAAAGAAGGAAAGAGAAAACTTGTAGCTTGGAAATATATTCCAAACTGAGAGTTTCAGACCTACCATTGAATTTCCCCAATTTAGCATTATACCTATTTTGTAAAATTCCCACTGAACCTACTCCTGGCCATGTAACGGCCACAGTATATGCTACAGTTCAGTGTAATGATAATTTAGAACATATTTCATTTTCCAATGAAGGGTGGAAATAATTTTCTCCTGCCTTCTGGTGAGTAGTGATGCATTCACGGACTGCTGGAGGTAAACATCGTATCCAAGTGGGATAAATGAACGCTTCTCAGGGATCGAAAGGCGAGGGCCGCTGTGAACCTAAGACTTTTATTCAGTTTCCTGGAGCATATGTTCCATCGCCTGGGCACGCTCAGTGTTCTCCATGAAGCACAGCCAAGCTCACGGCGCCGTGGCCCTTAGCAGAGATCCTACAAATGGCAGAGTACTTGTCCTCTTTGGGAAAACCAAGTTATTTCCCACACTACTAGAATATTGCTCCAAACACCTTCAATTCCGTTTTTCCATTTAATTTTAGTACACAGTTATTAAAGCCCCTCCATGGGAAGCTGTAAGTAATTCTGAGGACTAATTGCCGTTGGATCAATTCCATATGAAAACATGTTATGATGAATCAGGTGCTTTGGTGGAGTCTCAGTGATAATAGTAATTGTCAGTGATAATTAGTGTGGCTATTTCTAACCCATCAGTGCACTCTAGTGCAAGATTATTGTTTATAATAATAATATATTCATATAGCACTTTATATTTACAAAGCCCGTCTACTTACATTTATTTCATTTACTTCTCATAACGGCCCCGTGAAAAGAAGGCACAGGCGTTGAAATTAACCCCAGCAGGCATTGAGTACCATGAAAAAGACATGGGTTGTATCCTCAGCGACCTCAGAGTCCAGAGAAGAACTCGCCCCGTTGTGGGGTCAGAGGGCTGGAGGCTCAGGTGGTCTCGTGACCTTGAGAAACAGGCTCAGAACAAGGCCCCAACTTCAGTCCCTTCCTTGCCTCAAGGCGCAGTGG